TGAATCAGCAATAAAGGGCAAAAAAAAAATTATTAGATTGTCACTCCCGCCCTCGTGAAAAAGTCGGGAAATATTGATGCGGGAATATAAAAAAAAATTGTTTTTTCCCACATCAATTTTACAGCATAAAAATACGTATCATGCAATATTGTGACTTCAAATACATTTTCTTTAAAAAACTAAAAAAAAATTAAACCAGTTTTTAGGCCGGGCCTGGGCCCCTATACAATATTTTCTATTACAGACCAAATATAAACAGTCCTTCCCTCATCGATAGAAACAAAAGCGAAATAATCTATAGTTCCGGTAAAAAAAACAAAAAAGCGCCGTATCGGAACTTCCGAATGCTAAAGGTACGGTAAATGATATTACGTCATGATTAGCCAATAGAAATGACCGACTCGATTTTGGCTTTTTTGCTAAGTCGACGTCGCGATCAAGAAACGTGGTGCGAACAGTTACGATCAAATTTATGTCATAAAACTTCAGGCTCATTTCATGTATTTCGATTGGGGCTTATCACAATGTTTGGGTTAAAAATCCTTTCTGTTATTCTTGCGTATTTTATGGTCTGGTCTACCCAAGGTAATTCAACAGAAGGACGCACATCTCCGCTCTCGAACATAGTGCGTGCGTACAGTCCTTTGATCTTTACTGTGGCATCGACAATCCGATACTAGTTGCGAGTAGAGCTGTCAATTATTAGTCTATGCGTGCCATTCATTTTATGGTGTTAGTTTTTATTTTATTAATTTTGGGTAATTCGCAATGTCTGTTACATCTGATTTTTTTTGACCGCGAACTTGTTAAATGCTTCTATAAACTGCAATTTAATTTATGAAAATTGACCAAGAAAATGAAAAGTTATAACAATTTAAAATTTACAAATTTTATAAAATTTCATGTTCTTATGTAACATTAATCTGTCATTTTGACAATGTTGGCATAAGGTGCCGAAAATGAACATTTGAGTATATACAGAACATTTATTAATTTTTTCTGCGAAGCGAGTCTCATGAACGACAATTCACCACAATTTTGGTAAAATTGTTGAAATGAAGAATATATTTCAGTCTAATCTTAGTGCAAAATATCATTAGGCCTTTGTAATCACCGCACGACGCGCGATTATCATGGCAACTAACACGCGCGTGGGTAAATCGTCACGTACGCTGACAGTTTAAGGTCTGGTTGCTATGGTTTTTGTGACAATCAGCGTGTAGAATCTTGCCCCTAGAATGTCGATGCCAGAGTTATAACCTTTGATGTCCCGAGATGTGCGTCCTTCAGTTTAATTGCCTTGGTCTACCATAGAGAATTGTCTACTAAGGCTAGGCTTAGGCCTAGGGCCTAGCCCGAACACCCGCCTAGCTAGTAGGGCATACTTTATAGGCGTACTACTAGACTAGGCTTAGGAGGTTTCAGGAGTAGCTAAGGCCTAGGCCTGGCTTCTACTATTAAAATAGTTTATTCTCGCTTGATGTCGCCAAATCTAGCAAAACTGCTATCCTTTTTATTTGCTATACGGCCTCGGGCTACAGAATATTAATCACAACTTATCAACAACACCCGCGAACGAAAGAATCTTCGATCGTTGCTAAAACACACACTCATTACTCTTGCAGCAGCAGTGTAGTGAATGAAGTCACGCATGTATCGGCGTTTCTATTGGCTAATCATGACGTAATATCATTTACCGTACCTTTAGCCACGGCGAAAAAAAAACGTCCTCCCTCATCAATTTAAAAAAATGAAAGAGTTAAATCTAATAATTTTTCCTATGTGACCTAAGAGTGCATTCGGACGAGTTTTTTGTGGAGTTTATTGCCCTTTTTACACTGCCAAGGGCAGAATGCACCCATGTTAATTCTGGGGTGATCCCGGATGCATTTCCCATTTACATCAAACGAAAAAGTACGGGTTGATCCCGAGTTACTCCCATTTTACACCGGCAACAAACTCTGTAGATTTTAACATGGGTATTGGAAAATCCCGGGTTATGTCCGGAATTTTGCTTGTAAGTGTAAAAGGGGTATAACACGGTATAAATCCAAAATCGTCCATTTCCAGTTCTCGTTCAGGCCGCCTGCTGATATCCGCTAATAATCCAACGCTGCAAATTGCAGTGTTTTTGGAGGAGCAAAGGCAGATGTGTAAGCAGCAGGGAGCATTTTTTATCATTTAATCCACTTTGATTGTTTTAACAGTGAACACGCACCAGAATTAAAAAGAAAAACTTGAACCTTATGGTGTCAGGGGTACAGCTTTGAACTGATTTAGAGCTATGTCTGCGGAAGAAGGCAATACACTGTCCTGAATAACACAAAGTTTGCAATATTGAGTATGGTGTCCCACAAGGCTCCATTCTTGGACATTTTTTTATTTATACTTTACATCAATGATATTTTTAACTGTTCTGAAATTCTGTCTTTTATTTAATTTGCCCATGACACAAATATTTTATTAGCCCATAAAAATATAAATACTCTGATGAATCTTATAAACACTGAATTTGACAAAGTTAATGAATGGTTTAAATGTAACAAATTATCGCTGAGCGTAAGTAAGATATTTCATGATCTTCCGTAGCAAAAAGTAGCAAAATTCTGTGAAATTTTAATTAATGGTAAAGCAATTATTAAAAGAGTAAATGTGACAAAGTTTCTCGGGGTCCACATTGATGAGTATGTCTCCTTCAAAGAACACATAATTTAATGTTGTCTCAAAAAAAGTTTCTATCTTAGTTCTAAATTGGTATACTATACAAACAAGGTAAGACATTTTCTCCCTTTTAATGCATTACTTACTATTTACAGATCACTCATTGAACCAATCCTTAACTATCGTATTATTGTCTAGGGTTGTATGTGTGACTCCTACCTTACCAAAGTCAAACGTCTTCAAAGAAAAGTCCTTCATGTTATTACGTTCACTAATTACAGGGACAGTGTATCACATATATTCCGTAGACATGGACTCTTAAATATCCAGGACATTATTACCATACTTCCAAATTGAAATTGCTATGTATTCTGTCACTTATGAATTAAATAGGAAACTAATGTGTGTATTAGCAAATGAATCACATCTCCACAATTACAACACCTGGGTAAATGTAAACATAAAACTAAAGGGAGAAAACTGAAATGTACTAGCCTATTATATTTATATTGTCCCTGAAATATGGAATAACTTCGACTGTAATCTTAAAAAAATGTGCTTCTTTAATCAATTTTAAAGTGAAACATAAAAGAAAACTTTTGAATTTATACTGAGAGCTTTACTATCTCATTATTGCTTTTGCTTTTATATTATGTGTGGTCTTGAACAATTGTTAATCTCTGCGTCATTACTGGTAATGGTATGGGTATTTATTATATTATATCATAATTATTATTATAATTATTATTACTAATAGGCCAATTATTGTTAATAGAAATTCTGGTCTCATATACCATTATTACTTTTTGGCAGGCAGGTGGGAGGTGAGGGGGATGGGGGTGGACAGGGAGGTACTTTTACTGATGACCACCTCAGCCCCACCATAATTGAGCTGAGGTAAGAAAATTATGATTATGCCCAGCCCTGCCCCCACGCTGGTACCACCTCTGATCTATCCAAACATAATGAGACACAACAAAAGCCTGGGCAAGTAATCTGTACTAGGCCCTATGCCTACATGTACAGTAGCAGTAGGGTCAGAGTACAATAGTGTTCATCGTCGTCACCATGAATCAGCAATAAATTAAAATACTTATGATGTAGTAGGTCAAGCCTCTATCTAACCCAGCCCAGGGTTCTGCCTAGATGCCCAAATTGTCATGTAGGCCACACTTGCTATGTTCACTTTCTTTGTAAAAGAAACTTTAAAATTTTACCCAGGCTCAGTGTTCTTATTTTGTTCTTAAATTTAACACTTTTCAACCATAGAAGATTATTATTGTACATCAGTAGGGGCCTATATTTTGTACATAATCAGTAGATTACTGTACAGTACTGAATTATAGAGAGTATAACATAGACACACCTAATGCAAATAAGGTACAGAAGACCTGTTAGTTTTTCTATTTTTTTTTTTACTAAAACCTCATTTGAAATTTTATCTCAGCCTCAATTTTTTCTTATTTTGTTCTTAAATTTTAGGAGTTGTTTTTCATTTTTGAGAGTGCTTTATAAAAATGTGTTCTTTGGATAAAAAAAAATTGTATGGTATATACAGTATATATATATATATATATATATATATATATATATATATATACAGTAT